TCCGCTGCTTAACTAGGTCTCCCCCAGTAGATTACCTCATGTAGTGGATATTTGCTAGAATATTTTACATTCATTCTTTCATTACAGTCAATCAAGAGTCCACTGCTTAACTAGGTCTCCCCCGTAGATTACCTCATGTAGTGGATATTTGCTAGAATATTTTTCATTCATTCTTTCATTACAGTCAATCTAGAGTCCGCTGCTTAACTAGGTCTCCCCCATAGATTACCTCATGTAGTGGATATTTGCTAGAATATTTTTCATTCATTCTTTCATTACAGTCAATCAAGAGTCCGCTGCTTAACTAGGTCTCCCCCATAGATTACCTCATGTAGTGGATATTTGCTAGAATATTTTTCATTCATTCTTTCATTACAGTCAATCAAGAGTCCGCTGCTTAACTAGGTCTCCCCCATAGATTACGTCATGTAGTGGATATTTGCTAGAATATTTTTCATTCATTCTTTCATTACAGTCAATCAAGAGTCCACTGCTTAACTAGGTCTCCCCCCGTAGATTACCTTATGTAGTGGATATTTGCTAGAATATTTTACATTCATTCTTTCATTACAGTCAATCAAGAGTCCGCTGCTTAACTAGGTCTCCCCCGTAGATTACATCATGTAGTGGATATTTGCTAGAATATTTTACATTCATTCTTTCATTACAGTCAATCAAGAGTCCACTGCTTAACTAGGTCTCCCCCATAGATTACCTCATGTAGTGGATATTTGCTAGAATATTTTTCATTCATTCTTTCATTACAGTCAATCAAGAGTCCGCTGCTTAACTAGGTCTCCCCCGTAGATTACATTATGTAGTGGATATTTGCTAGAATATTTTACATTCATTCTTTCATTACAGTCAATCAAGAGTCCGCTGCTTAACTAGGACTCCCCCGTAGATTACCTCATGTAGTGGATATTTGCTAGAATATTTTACATTCATTCTTTCATTACAGTCAATCAAGAGTCCACTGCTTAACTAGGACTCCCCCGTAGATTACCTCATGTAGTGGATATTTGCTAGAATATTTTACATTCATTCTTTCATTACAGTCAATCAAGAGTCCGCTGCTTAACTAGGTCTCCCCCGTAGATTACCTCATGTAGTGGATATTTGCTAGAATATTTTACATTCATTCTTTCATTACAGTCAATCAAGAGTCCACTGCTTAACTAGGTCTCCCCCGATAGATTACCTCATGTAGTGGATATTTGCTAGAATATTTTTCATTCATTCTTTCATTACAGTCAATCAAGAGTCCACTGCTTAACTAGGTCTCCCCCGATAAATTACCTTATGTAGTGGATATTTGCTAGAATATTTTACATTCATTCTTTCATTACAGTCAATCAAGAGTCCGCTGCTTAACTAGGTCTCCCCGCATAAATTACCTCATGTAGTGGATATTTGCTAGAATATTTTTCATTCATTCTTTCATTACAGTCAATCAAGAGTCCACTGCTTAACTAGGTCTCCCCCGTAGATTACCTCATGTAGTGGATATTTGCTAGAATATTTTTCATTCATTCTTTCATTACAGTCAATCAAGAGTCCGCTGCTTAACTAGGTCTCCCCCATAGATTACCTCATTGTAGTGGATATTTGCTAGAATATTTTTCATTCATTCTTTCATTACAGTCAATCAAGAGTCCGCTGCTTAACTAGGTCTCCCCCATAAATTACATCATGTAGTGGATATTTGCTAGAATATTTTTCATTCATTCTTTCATTACAGTCAATCAAGAGTCCGCTGCTTAACTAGGTCTCCCCCATAGATTACCTCATGTAGTGGATATTTGCTAGAATATTTTTCATTCATTCTTTCATTACAGTCAATCAAGAGTCCACTGCTTAACTAGGTCTCCCCCATAGATTACCTCATGTAGTGGATATTTGCTAGAATATTTTTCATTCATTCTTTCATTACAGTCAATCAAGAGTCCACTGCTTAACTAGGTCTCCTCCATAGATTACCTCATGTAGTGGATATTTGCTAGAATATTTTTCATTCATTCTTTCATTACAGTCAATCAAGAGTCCACTGCTTAACTAGGTCTCCTCCATAGATTACTTTATGTAGTGGATATTTGCTAGAATATTTTTCATTCGTTCTTTCATTACAGTCAATCAAGAGTCCACTGCTTAACTAGGTCTCCTCCATAGATTACCTCATGTAGTGGATATTTGCTAGAATATTTTTCATTCATTCTTTCATTACAGTCAATCAAGAGTCCACTGCTTAACTAGGTCTCCCCCATAAATTACATTATGTAGTGGATATTTGCTAGAATATTTTTCATTCATTCTTTCATTACAGTCAATCAAGAGTCCACTGCTTAACTAGGTCTCCCCCATAGATTACCTCATGTAGTGGATATTTGCTAGAATATTTTTCATTCATTCTTTCATTACAGTGTATCAAAAGTCCACTGCTTAACTAGGTCTTCTCCGTAGACTACCTCATAGAGTGGATATTTGTCATAGTTGCCACTCTTGGTAGTTGAGTTGGCAATTGCAGATTTTGTTTTTTGGAGCCGTTAACAAGAAAACGTTGTGGCTTACCTGTTGTATCAGTTTCCTCCTGACGTCTCTTACGACTCCCACGGGATGATATAGGGTAGTGGGTGGAGCCTTAGCAGTATAGGCACTGTAGTGTAGTGTAGCCCTCACGTTGATATATATTAGTGTTAAGGTAGAAATATTTGAGCAGTATAATTAAAGTCATAGCAACAGCAACACATCTCTCTTTTCATTCACCTCTTCCAACATTACAGCACTATAGAGCTATTTACTCCTCTAAACGGAGTGAAGGTCAGATGAAGATGCAAATGGCTTAGGAGCGTGCTTTCTGGCGGTGTTTGAAAGCCCATATATAGCAGCGGACTAGCGAATGGCGTAAATTTACATTGTGTAGTGGCCGTATGAGAATATCCACTACCCAATGTCGTCCTGTGGGTCAATGAAACAGGAGATGGGCAGCATCTTCCTGTTTACAACACAAAATAATAAAAAACTGCGGTTACCAATCCGCCTGCCAAGCGTTGCAATTATGGCAAATATCCTCTTTATGAGGCAATTTATTCGAAAGACCTACTTCCAGCCGTGGATTTTTTATAATCTGTGCTGATGATGATAACACTTATTATGTTTATTTTTTATTTTTACCAACCATGAACAGGGTATTATATTAAAAAAAAACTATAGCTTCTATTTTTGAAATCAATGAATACGCGTTATTTTCCAAAACTGGTGCTTGAATATGTTAATCTTTCTCGAATCATCAAAGATAGACAGAGAGAACACTTCGCGCCTACATTTAAAGTGAAGTCGAAACCATGCTCAACTTATTGTCACGCAACACGCATGTATGCATACGCACCTAAACTATGTACTATATGTTGTTGGTTGCATTTGAAAATGATTGAAATTGATGATTGAAGCGAATTTTGTGGTCACTAGAAATTTTCCACATTGCCGATAAGATTATATTGTAGTATCCATAATAATAGTAAATTTGACCACAATACTCAAGAAATTTGCTTTGCCTACTTTGTCTTTATTAATTTAATATAATATAATATTTATGTTGCAATAAGAGCGCCTTTTGCTGCCCCTTATTAATTTTTTTGTAATTTCGAACAATGCGTGAAGTTTTTTGTTTTTTTTTTTTCTTTTGTTTATGTTGGGTTGAATTTTGTTTTTTTTTTGTGGTGTGAAAAAAATAAGGGTCACAAACGAGCACACTGTTCATGTCCACTCGATGATAAGAGGTTGTTGTGGCCCAAAGACATCTATCCTCTAAGATGGAATGCCTCAATTCCAGTAAAAGGGGTCTCCGGTTCTCTACATTCACCATAAAATTATATTTATAAAAATTTGAATTTCATTTGTCAAAAGAGTGGTAATTAATAAAAATATTAATTACTTCGCAATAAAAATATTAATTACTTCGCAACCTTCCGCGAGTGTGGTAATTTTACTGATGTGTCTTTTTGTTCATTGTATAATTTAGTAAAACACAAAAATGCCAACATCTGTGTTTTATGAAGTTATGAATCAGGAAAATGAAAAACATAGTAATATTTTTATCTTTTTTAATAGTGTTTTAATAACATATATCCAACGATAATAAAGCATTTGTTAAACGCGTGAATGCATCTTGTTTGTAGCTTTATATTTTTTATGACGCGTGATAACGTATAAAGGAAACGCATTTAAGATACAATCTTAAACGAAACTTCGAATTGGCATATCATTTTCAATGTAAATGTGCATATACGATAAAATATCACAGTGAATGACTTACTTCCCGATGTTCAGATAACATTAAGTGTAATGGATGCGTCAATCACTGTGACTGTGTTTTTTTTATCGAAACATATTTATTTTTGTAGATTATGTACACAGACGATTTTTACGTCGCCTATATTTAGCTGTGGCGGCGAAAGAGAATCCATTAAAATAGAATGCAATAGAATATTTTTATTCAATATGGAGTAATGGAAAGTCAGAATGTGTCAAAAAGGCTCGTATGGCAAATTAAGCACTGTGTTAGTCCCTACTTTAACGTATGATAGTGAAAGTTGGGTGTGGCAGAAGAAGCACGAGAGTAGAATAAACGCAGTAGAAATGCGGTCGTTAATTATGTAGTAGGAGAATGTTAGGGTTGAATCTGAGTGACAGGGTGAGAAATTGTGTGATATGAGATGAGTGTGGTTTGCAAGATGATGTTGTGACCAGAATTAAGAAAGGAATGCTTCAGTGGTTTGCTCATGTAGAAAAAATGCATGAGGAGAGAGTGACAGAGCAAATTTATGTTGCTAGGATCTATAGGCTAGAATAAAAGTAGATGTCTATGGGCCACAGCATCAATTTACATATTTTATTGATGCATTGTAATTTCGAAACGAGTTTAGGGTTATTTAAAAGTTTAAAAATTAAGCAATTTATTTACTTTTCTTCTTTTAGACCTCTAACTTTATTTTCATTCGCAGAGATGGGAGAAGATGGTCCGTGGCGTCGCTACCTTCTTCCGGTTACGGCACAACACCCGGAAGCTCTAGTCTGTCAGTAAGTACCTAATAATAATACGTCAATAGCCCTAATATTTGATATTTTGTATAGTATCAGTAAAATTATTATTTAAGTCATAAATTAAGAAATCAATTAATCAAATTATCATTACCCTACATTTTTACAGTAGCATTCGGTTAAATCAAATTAATGAATTACATCACACTATACATCTACGTAATATCTATACTATATACAAAAACTTTAAACCGGCTCGTCAATTTTGATGAAAATGTTTGTTTGTGTATTAATGGGTCCCTAGATGGTTTAGATTTACATTTGGACCGGTTGGTGGCGCTGTTGTCGAGATCCAGAATTCGTCCGTACGGGCATTTTACATTTCGTTTCATGTCAAAAACAAATTCCATATAAAATTAAAGGTTAATTACATTTCATTTTTCATCTGTTCCTGTGACGGCATTTGTACTTTTCTATCCTTTTAGCAAAGACCTCCTCATTCTTCTTTAACTGTTTTTTGTTTGTGATAGTCTTATCTTGTACTTTATTTTATCTACCTAGCTTGTGATTTCTCTTTTCTCTTTTTTTGGAAAAATAAAATAAAATAGATAAAGTAAATGGTCTTTGATGATTATCTTAAATCTAAATAACGACACATGAATAAATGCTGTCCAGACAAATCCGGGATTGGTCGCTGGTATTTTATAAAATTAAATGCCTTTTTCTATATAAAAATATATGTAAAAATATCTATAGGCGAGGTGTGTCTACAACGTTCATAATTTTTAATTTATAATCACAGGCCTTCAGTTATTCTTAGAAACAATAACTTTATCGGATACTGAGTCAATGCACCCACTCATATGCGATGTCGGGCTTCGAGATTGGCGGTTTTGCAGCTTCATTTAATGAGTGGCCAGCGGCTTAAAATGATCACCTAACATGTTTGTTTTGCATAATACCAATAAAATGTTAATAGGTCTAACTGATGTTAAACTTCTATTTATTTATTCATTTTTGAGCTTACCTTAAAATCTACTAAAGTGAGGTTTCATACTATATTAAGGTGATTCTTTATAGATATCTTTTTTTGTTATAATATATTATATTTGTATTATATATTTATGTATGTGTATGTTTGTATATATGTATGTATTATTTTTTTTTATATATATATGGATGTTTGTATTTGATTTGTATTGTATATGTATATTTTAATAAAGTGCACACTTTGACAACCTCTATTTCCTCCAACTATCCCTCCATAGGTCTGCTGGAAGAAATTTCATTATGGAGTTAGCACTTCCTTTGTACATATTTATGTTTTTACCATTTTCCTATCGAAGTATGTGTGTACATAAACTGTTAAATAAATAAACAAATTCTTTCCAATATTAAATTCACATTTAGATCACATGCATTTCGGCCAACGATTACAGCCTAAAGCACTGCTGAACGTAGGCCTCCTACATAGACTGCCCGTAGAGAGGTTATTTGCCATAGTTGCCATACTTGGCAAGCAGTTTTTTGTTTTTGTCGTTATTAGAAAGACGCAGCTGCCCACTTCCTGATTTGTTTCCCTCTGTCTCCTCTTACGACACCCACGGGATGATATAGGGAAGTTAATTCTCTTATGCAGCTACTAAACAGTTTCACTAGCTTTGCATAGATACATAAAAAGTGGACTCGTTATATTATTAAAAATTATTCTTGTGTGAAGTTCTAATGGTATTTTTATTTAGCATTAGGTTTACAATGCAAGGCCTGTAGATGTGAGCTTCTGTTCTCTGTCACCAATCTTTGCTCCTTCATTGCTTACTTAGTGTAATGTAATGAATACAGACTATCAAAACTGCGCTGCTAAAGAGGCCTCTCCCATAGTTTGGCTTATAGGGGGTGTAACTTTCTGCGTAAACTCTCAGAGAAATAACACCGTGCGTGCACAAACTCAACAGAATGAGCGCACTGCATCTGTCGAATTTTCGAATTGTATACCGGTTGCGCGTCCGCTACGCATATACGTTGCCACATAAAAAAAATAAAGTTTCTCGAAATAAATATTAAAACAATTTAAAAAAGTTAGCTTAAAATTTAAATTGCGAACATAAAAAAATATAGTATCTTAACGTCGCCTACAGGGGGATTTTTCCATAGTTTACACGCTTGAGAGTATGATGTGTAGTGGTGACGTAGGAATATCCATTACCTCATATCATCCCGTGGATATCGTAAAAGGCGACAGAGGAAATTGAAACTAAGGTTGACAGCAGCACCTTCTTGGTAACAACTTAAAATAAAAATGTGTGGTTGCCGACCGGCCTTGCACGCATGGCAACTGTGATTTTTAATTCTTACACGTTATAAGGTTTATTTTCACATTCCGCGTGACGCTCCGCGCAGTTATAGTAAGTTTTATGGCCCCGTGCAATAAATTAATTGCATGTGTCGTTAATTGTTTTCTAGAGTAGCGGTAATATCCGTGATTCATTTGTTTAGAATAAATAAGCGAGAACATCCGACTGTGTTATTTAACAACCGTCTGTATATTCACGGTTTATATAACAACCGTCGCCTTCCTACTAGGGTAATTAATGTGTGCCACTCCGTAAGTCATTAAATCCCGCCGCAGTTTCGGTTTTTTGGGTTTTTACATCCTCCAATCAGAATGCAAATGCGCTTGAATGAAGAATGCCTCGTTTCCAGTAAAAAGAGTATCTGGTTCTCTACGCTCACCGTACAAATACTAGACTAGGCTCTCATAAAATACAATTTTATGACAGGGGTTGTGCTATAAAAGTAAATTTCACAGTTCGTTAGCAACTTGAGTTCGAGGATTGCTGGCACTAATTAAATTGTTAATTGGAATTTTAGGTGCATTTGGCAGTGAAAAAAAAATTCGTGAGGAATTGTGCATGTCTGAGAAATAAAAATATTTCTAAGACGTGTGAATTCGACCAGCTCTCATTAGAGTACCGCTTCGAAATAATTAGGTACTCCATAGTTATCAGAACTCGCGTTCCCATCCATACCATCTGGATGGCTGGTAGTCCACCACTGTGCAATTTAACAGAAGTTTCCTTCCTCACACAACTTCCATGTGAAATAAACTACCATCAGCGATTTTTCCGGACCGATACGACTTAGGGACCTTCAGTGCCTTGAAACTGGGGAGATACGACAAAGGGGTTCTTTTTAGCGGTAAACGCGCAAACTTGTGTCTTTTGAGGGTTGAACGGGAATAGATTTAGTCGCCCCCAATCCGAGACTTTGTTCATCAAGGACTCGACTTCAGACACAAGCTTGTACCGGTACTCGGAGACGTTTTCCCGAGAAATGTTGACACGGCTGGTGTACAGAGCATCGCCAGTGCTGTCATTCGCATAGCAATGAATGTTACCGGTTTGCAACATATCATTGATATGCAGAAGAAACAGTGTTGGTGATAGCATGCAGCTTTGTGGAACGCCAAGAAATAAATGAGGCCTTGTGTATAGGCTGTAACATCATTACTATACACATGCCGATTTTATCACACGTGCATGTGGTAAGTCAGCACTTGCGATTAACTGTATCAGTGTCGCCGGCGGTTACAAACTAGTAGTTCGGGTACTATGAAATTTGTTGCGAGCGCACAGTCGTTGACATCCACATAATTATGTCCAAGAAACCTGCATTTTTTTTAAAGAAACAGAAAATAGGACATGGTCTACTTAATGGTAAGTGGATGCTAAGGCCCATAGACGCCTACCATATACCATCGATTAAGAATCAAAATACAGATGCACTTTCATTCACTGTGGACTAGGATAGAATGCCTCTAAAAAGGGTTTTCGGTTCTCTACATTCGTCATACGAAACCAGTGGCGAAGCCTCTATACAAGCCCAGAAGCCCGGCTTGCCTCATTAAGATGAATCAATCAATTATATCAAGTAATAAAATAACTCATAAACGGTTTCAAACTATTTCAAATTTCCCGCACACTCTGTTCAACCTCGTTACGTATACCCCGCCTTACGATTACTGCTGTCACACATATAAGGAGAGTTGAATTGAGCAATTGGTTTTCTCCCTCGCACGCGTGGGCTTTTTACCGGGCTTTCGAGAAGGCGATCGCTCCCTTTCTAATCTGTGGCAATGTTCTCTAATGAAATATAACTACGAAATGTTTATATAGCAATTACTATTGAGCCACAAGCCTGGTTTTGCTCTGAAGATGTTTAGGAGTGCGTTAGCAACTAGCGAATGGGGTGCGGGTCATTCGTATGCAAGTTCACTTCACATTTCAATGTTTATGTTTGTTTTGTTGTGTTTGTTAAAAATTTATGCTTTTTCAAAGGTTTTCAGTGAAAATGGGAGTATAATAGTGTTCATTGTGATGAATATAAGTGTGTTGAAGTGCTAATCGGCGAGGAAAAGGTAAAATCTTTAAAAATGAAATTTAATATTCAATAAACATTTCTTCATACTTTAAATATAGGTACAGGACTCTTTAGCATTAAAGTTTAATTAAGTTAGGCGTATTTAAAGGTTTAATAACTCAATATTTATATTACCATATGAATTAAAAATATCATTTTGAACGGCAGTATAAAATATGAGACACCTAGGTTTATATTTATAGGAAATAAGTGTTACAGTCTTTTTTTAACGTGAAGCTCAAATTTTAATGTAATAAATCAAAAGAATACAGAGGAATGTATTGAGGTTTTTAAAGAATACTCCCTTTAGTTATTTCCAGTATATAAAATTTTAATAGCGCCATCTACTTAATTCTATAGGTAAAGTCATTTTATCGAACGAAAATTGGTTATTCTCACGATGGTACCTAAAGATTACGCTAGATGGCACAAATACGCTATCGGCTAATTTAATATTTATATTACCATATGAGTTTAAAAATATCATTTTGTACGGTTTATTATGAATTGAATATCATTTTGTACGGTTTATTATAAATTGAAAATGAATAATTATATAATAAACAGTCATTATTTTATGGTAAAAAATTAGCAAAGCATTATCTTCTCATTATAACTAT